AAGCACCTTTAAATAAAAGCGAGTAAGTCTGCTATGTTGCTCTGACCAGGGGAGTCCGCCAATTTACCATGGAACTTTGAATGGAGACCTGGGTAGATCGATAGAGTCTATAAGGTTATTTACAAATATAGATAGCAAAACTGCAACCTGCATTTCACAAGCAACTTATGAGCAGGTAAAGTTTGTAATGGTGCAGTAGGGTGGAGGCTTGGTGGTGAGCTGTGAAGCATAAGCGAGGAATCGCATACGTCGAATCGAGTCGAACGTCGAACCTTACCACTGAACCACCACGACTCGATTCGACGTATGCGATTCCTCGCTTATGCTTCACAGCTCACCACCAAGCCTCCACCCTACTGCACCATTACAAACTTTACCTGCTCATAAGTTGCTTGTGAAATGCAGGTTGCAGTTTTGCTATCTATATTTGTAAATAACCTTATAGACTCTATCGATCTACCCAGGTCTCCATTCAAAGTTCCATGGTAAGTTGGCAGACTTCCCTGGCTGGACGTCCCACGCAACTTGCTGCAGCTTTCGTGTTTTCTAAGCTGCTGTCCTGTATCTTTCTTTGCTACAGAGCAACGGAGCAAAAACAGAAAAGTTCAAGTTGACACAACCCATTTTGAGTGGATGCTTTTCACACTCAATGAGCCTTCTTACCGTGAAATACACAGTCCCCTTGTACGGCGTTGTACAGACATCGTTCTTCTTTCTACGCAGAGCATCGAAGAACATTAGGAACGGAATAGCCAGCAGATGGACCAGTGCCACTAACCAAAGCAGAACGCTACCGGTGTGTTCGCTGACTGTGACCATCTGAAATGTATCACTGAATCTTTCCATAATTCAAAAGCATAATTAGCAATGCAAGTTGCAGGTGGTGACGTTAAAAACATTATCCATGATTTGTTGATTAACGAAGAAAGCAACAGCGAAAAATACCCCAACATAAGGTTCAGTTCAATTTCAGCACAACGCATCTTCAAAAAAGTGTTCATGCTTCGTTATTTGTGCGACCAGAGCGACCTAAACGCTCGACAGAACGGACTGTAAGCATTGCAGACTCACCACTTGGTGGTACGCGAGATAGGTAGACCGAATCGGTGTTCTGCAAGCGATTGCAGCATCCGATAGAGCTTGAGCTGTCGTGGGACGCGAAGCAGGATCTGGTGACATCAGCCATTTGATGAGACGAGTGAGATCTTTGGAAACACCTGCGAAGAGAGCATTCATGGATTCATTATAAACTGGAGGAATGCTTGCTACCTTTGAAAAATCTGTCCGGTATGTGACCACTTCGAATCTGGTGCCATGTATCGCCGCGAGAAGGCAGATCTATGTCGGTGGTGACCTAGAAAAAAAATCTTAGAAGTCGAGGGTAAGTTCAAAGTTTACCATGAAGATGAGTTTGTTAAGAAAGCCGTTCACCTCGAGTATAGTAATTCCTATGCTGAACACATCGGCGGCTTTTGTAGGAGACGCATTCAAGACTTCAGGCGCTAGGTATTTCGCGTCTCCCTCCTCAGGAGTGTATGTTGTGTCCTAGAATGCAGATAAAGGATAAAAGGATAAAGTCTTCGCCGTTGATCAATCCCTTTGTGGGATGCGGCACGCATTCTACTTCCATTCAGAATCGTAGTGGCTTATTGAATGCGATGTGGCCTATACAATGACTTGCGGTGGCCAGCCGATGTACAAGTCAGTGTTTTATCCTCCCAGACGAATCTGGTACCAATTTACCGTCCCCGGAGGGTAGAAGGCTTGGTTGGCCTGGGCGGGTGTCGACCCGGGATTCGAACCCAGGACCGCGCGAGTGGTAAGCGCGCCACTTGTCACTACACCACCTCCGCCTCAGATCCAATCCTTTTAGAATGCAGATATTTCAGAAAAAAAGGGCAAGACAGGTGGCGGCTGCTGTAGTGGAGGGAGCAAAGCGGGGCTGAAGTGGTTCGTTCGTCCCCGAGATCCAGCCACAAAAAGATGAGATCGCCACTTCCGCTGGCGGCCTCGTCTCAGGGCGCAGGAATTTCGTATTTCGCCACGCCGTAGAGCTCCCTTCTCAAGTCCAGAAAATACCGATAAGCATCGGAATGTGGTGTAAAAGGTACATACATTCTTCAGGTCGAATATGAGCCCGAAATCGCCGAGCTTGCACACTTTGTCTTTCGTTAGGAAAATATTTCTCCGGCTTTATGTCGACATGAAGAAGGTCGTTTTTGTGCAGATGATCCACAGCCTACAAAATTGGAATTTACCAAAAATTTCAAGAAAACGAAACAATCTGATGAAAAGCGCTCAAAATCTAGAAATTCACCTTCAAGAGATCAATGAAGATGTTCCAGATTTCACGTTCCGGTATAGTATGAAGTTCCGTACAGTAGTCGAGCAGACTTCTTTCACATAACTCCGTCAAAATGTATAAACGACCGCTAAATTGATAATATTCTAGGGATGAAACATATAACGGAAACTTTCCTTACTTCTCTTCCCAGGCCTTGTAAAACTGGACGAGGTTGATGTGTTTCGGCAAGAGCTCATGCTTTTGGACTTCACGCAACTTCAAGGTACGATCCGCTGAACTTCGAAATGCGTCCAATGCACGTTTCACTGCGTATCGTCGACCGTCTTCTTTACAGTAAACAGCGTAGGCCTGAGAATTGCAAAATGGAATGTACAAAAGTTCGAACATATTCAATTTTTTTGGGGGATGCAATCCTAGTAGCTTGTGGTGTGGTTTTCACTTTCATTTTCAGGTGGTGTACAGGCAATCTGATGGGTTGGAGCACAAAGATACCGGAAAGAAAGTCTAACGTAAAGTTCTCTGGAGCCCAGTTCCTAAGTTGGAACATCCTAGAAGAATCGTGGAACTATGGAAATATGAGAGGCCTAGGAAAGGACTAGAAATGTATCGATTTCTTTAGTAAGTCAAAACGATACGTACACTTTCCTTTCACTGAGTTCTCCACTCTCCAATTCCCGCCATTCTTCGATAGTGATGTAAGATAGAAGCGTGACCAATGAGAACACTACTTCATTACTGACTTGTGTACTAGTTATGAAGCGGCCAGCCCTGCGGCGGAGAGGGAATGAGTTTGGCGCGGCGTCAGTCCGTTTTTTTGCAGGCGACGAGTTCTACCATATCGTTCTATCAGCCATTTCACACCGGTTCTTGTCGCCTACCCGCCTCGAAAATTGGTGAAAAAAGGATTGGCGCAGCCTCACTGACACACTACTGATGCCGTTTGGAGGCACACAGTTTGGGCTGCTGGCGGTATTTATGAAAGATTGTAACCGCCATTTTGTACAGCCCTCCCTACTTTACTTCCCCACCTCTCCGCACAAGGCCGAGTCTGGTAGAAGGAGTGATTCCTTTACTCTACGATCAGTTTCAGTAGAGCGAAGTTAACCGTAGTGTTCTCTAATAGCACCTGCTCAAAAGTGAATCTCATATTCGTGACCAGGATGTTAAATGACTGTTGTACAGCAGTTTTCAGCGGATTTGGTGATCTAGGCACTTCATGTGAACCAGCAGCCAAACCTGAGCGCGGCCAAACGCCACCAGTCCTGACACGCCCCATCATCCGCAGCGAACAAAACTGTAAATCATCTGTGCCACAAGTTGCCCCTATCTTTCGCTAAAGCTGCGTTCATACTCTGCGTCAGGGTACGCCATCACCGGCGACCAGGAAAGTATAAAAGCAATCGAGCGTACGTCAGCGTACATATTCGTCAAAGACTGAAGAGTATCGGGAAGCAGGAGATTAGCAGTTCGCTGGTTCGCCGTCGTGAAATCTCAGCGTGTATGATCACACCGTTCACTGTTAAAGCACGGGTGTATACCATCCTTATGTATGTGCTTACCATTAGTGCAGTTGTTCGTGCAGTTGCACACATCGTAATTTCACGACGCCTAATCCAGCAGTCTGCTACCCTCCTACTTCCCCACACTCTCCATTCCTGGACGCTGGCGTACGCTAGACCGATAACTGTACTTTCCCGGTTGATGCCGTTGACGCACCTTAACGCAAAGTATGAACGCAGCTCTACGAGGGAGTAACCAATCGCTAAGGAAAACAGAAAAAAGATCAAATAAGAAATCATGTCAAATACAGCAGAGCAACACATTCTCACCTCTCCAAATGAACCCTGTCCAAGTTTTCTTTCAATAGTATAACACTGCTCGAAATACGGCACACCAATACTGGGGTTGTATATTGGACTGTGAGCAATAACTGTAAAATTCACTTTTACTTGAATGCTCATTACACTTATAACGATCCACATGCCAAAAAAAGGAACACGGTGACTAACTGTTATCATCCGGAATTCCTCGGAAAGAGACCTGATGGGGTGTCTGGAGTGCGAACCGCCGCGGATAAATTCGACTCAGTGGTGGAGCCGTTCGCACAGCTCTTGGAACAGAACAAGGTTTTCTTCCACAATTTTCACGCATCTGTTTTTGGAAGCGAATATATTAAAGGCAACCGTAAGAAAAGCATTAAAGAAAGCTAACGAAATTAATAGAGTACCTTTTCACGCTTTGTGGAAAGAGGTGAGTCAAATTTGTCGTAATAATTTTGTTGCCCGGTTGGAGAACGAAACAGTTCGTCATTTTTTGAAGACGTCGCCATCTCATCATCCATCATGAAGCTTGAAAGGGAAGAATAGTTGAAAGAATTGGGAGAATGGTGAAGCAAACAATGAGCAGAAGGTGAAAGGCGCACGGCTTTTGCGTTGATCGTATGAGTGGAGTCACTCGGAGAAAAGTGCTCTCTCACCCAGGCCGCCCTAATACTTTGCGACTGAGAAGACATGGTGATTCGGCGATTCGCGAGATTGAGCGACCCACTCAATCGGGAGACTCGGCGACCCGTTTTTTCGGGGATCGCGGAATCTCCGCAAATGCTCGCGACCGGCGCCGGTCGATATCCATCCACTCCTTAGCCAGATTGCCGGAAATGCCGAGATTCCCAAACCGCTGGATCGCTCAACCTACGCAGTCGCCAGATCGAAACCTGGGGCAGTTCCGTTGTCGTGCAATCTCTTATCGCCGAGGATCCTCAGTGGCAAAGTATGAACGCGGCCTTATGGAGATCTTCAAGATGACAAAAAGCAGGACAGCAGGATTCAACCAATGAGGCAAGCACCATTGTCCTAGTGACCCCTCCCATATCGCGTATGTATTCTTTCAAACTAAAGAAAAACACAAATAATTAGAAAAAAAGACGCTATGATTGACTTTCAGCACATAACAGTTTCCATTATAAATGGAATATGTTGTTTCGGAAAATTCACCATTGCCCACGTTGGAACATCAACTTATTCTTAAACAGCCAAGAAAAAAAGGGAATTCTAGTTCAACGTAGGAGGGATAAAAACGGACACCTTCATCACATTTCGCATGTTGCAACTCAAAAATCGTCT